GGGGGGGGGGGGGGGGGGGGGGCGGAGATGGCTAATTCAGAAGGGCACGAAGGGTACACTCGGTGGTATGGTCTGTACATTGGTGTTGTTCCGCCGAGGTTCACCCGGTTGTAGTTTCTAGATTTATCTGCCCTGTTCACCCTCGGATAGAGGTGTTTGCTGTTTCGTGAACATTCAATGAATGCCGCGTTGTTTCCGCTGCTCTCTTGGTTAAAAAGCACATGGTACAAGTTGATCGCCAACTGCTGGTCTGTTATTGTGTACATTGACGATGTACTGCGATCTGAAAATGCGGCACGCGCTGTTGTTTGGGATGCAGCGCCCGGTGCAAGAAAATGATGGAGTAGAAAATTATCCCGAACGTGTGTATTTTCGTCCCATCTTTTCTGCCGGCAGTCTAGAGCTTTCGGTGCATTTTGTTTGTTGTTTTCGCCGGGACCGTGCAGGAGGAAGATATCAGGTGAGCTTTTCACCTGTTGTCCCAACCTCCCCCTGCTGCACCTTGCCTTTGATGTTGACCTACAATAAGCACGTTATGTTCGTGCCACTGATCATGAGTAACCTGCTGTTTTTGGTAAATCAAGAGCTTCCCAATTTTTTTGTTCCTGGCTGGGCGTGCGCCAGTCTACACTTCGCTTTCTACCTGGTACTCCGTTTCAGCTGGAGGTGAAAAGCGCAACATAGTCGTGAGGTACACAACAAGAGGGCGTACTCAACCCTCGTCGCGTCCAAAATTGAAGTGAAGCACCACCACAGGAAAAAGCAGGAACAATCGAGATATCATAAAAGATAGTGCTCCTCGTCGTGAGTTACATAACAGGAGGGCTTACTCAGCTCTCGTGGCGTCCAAAATTGAAGTGAAGCACCACATGAAAAAGCGGAAACATTCGAGATTTCATAAAAGATATTGTAGTGATCGTCGTGAAACCGATGTAGAATACAGCAGTATGTTCAACGCACCTGCCGGCTTCACGAGGAGCACTGTCTTTCATGAAATCTCGAATGTTCCTGCTTTTTCCTGTGGTGCTTCACTTCAATTTTGGACACGACGAGGGTTGAGTACGCCCTCTTGCTGTGTAACTCACGACTAGTCCATGTTGCACTTGTCACCCCCAGCTGAAACTGCGAAGAGACACACTGATCAACACTGAAACAAGAAGGAAACGTACCAAGAGGAGGTCGCATGAAAGTCAATGGCCACGCGAAGAGCGCGAGCGAGCCCACTATCTATTACACCAGCAAGAGTGAGGTCGAGAGAACACAAGCAACGCAGCTACACAGCCATCGGCCAGCACGGCGCCAGGCGACCAGACCAGACGCGCCGACGCAGAAAATTGGAAGGGTTCTAGAAACGGTTTTAGATACACACGTCGGAGTACTCCGGAGCACGTTCTAGATATAGGTTCGGTTCTAGACGGTTCTGGAACATGAAACGGCCGACGATGTTGACGAATTCGACACGTGTATCGTTATCGAACTGACACGTGGTTTCCGTGCTGACCTGCTGACCTTCGCGCACAACCCCGCCGCGCCCACCACGCGCACAACACAACCACACCAGCGGTATCGCTTCAAGAGCACGGAGCACACAAACAACAAGCTTACAGAGCACATTGCCCACCCGTACAAGACAATCTACAGCGAGGTACAGCAACAGCACTCGGAATGACGAACAAAGCAGCAACAGCGGCAGCGCTCATCATGCTGCTCGACTCCAGCCAAGCGTTCACGTCCACTTTCCTCTCTCCCAGCAAACTGGCGATGCATCGTAGCACATCCCCTTCCAGCACCGCAGTCCCCACCACGACAGTCACCATGGACTGCGGTCCGTGGGACTTGGAATGCTACGGCGTGCACCCGTTTGGGAGTGAGCGGGGCAGGGGGAGAGGCGTCAGGGGCGGCGGCGGCCGCGGCCGCGGCGGCGGTGGGCGACGGAACAGGGGGATCCAACGGTACCGCCCATCATTCGGTCCCATGATTTTCGCGCCCTCGGAGGGTCAGGCCAACCAACACCTTCAGGTGAGCTAACGTTGACATTCGACGTGAAGTTCGTAATTCTGAATCTTCGCCGCAGTCGATACAGCGGATTGCTGTTATTTAGTCGGATACTTGCAGTCCTCGCCGAAATTCCACCGTCCGCCCCAAAATGCATCTCTCGTGATATGTCGTCGCGTCAACGTACGGTATGGTCTTGCATATCATAACCTGAATCCCTCCACCACCCATGGTACAGTCGTAACTGCTGTTCACATTCCAAGCGATATTTCCGGCACCCAATCTTGTAGAACATATTACACTACGTTCGAGATCGACGATTTTGTTAACTAGCTGCCACATGTCCGGTACTAATGCAAAACCTTATTTCTTGCATGTTTTTCGTTTCAGGTCGGGGACCCCGCCGTTATTCTGGAGACCAATGACCTCTACACGCTGGCCTTTGACCTTCCGGCAGGGGTCGACCACGACGGGCTGGAAGTGTCTGTCAGCGATCGTCTGCTGACGGTCAAGGCCAGTATCACCCGCGAACAGGAGGCCGATCCCTTCATCACCAGAGGTGGATGGGTCACGCGCTCCAGCCGGGTAGACTCTGTCTCTCGCTCGTTCGTGCTCCCGGAGGGCCTCGTCGAGTCTAGCGCGACTGCTTCGCTCTCGGAGGGCAAGGCTGAGGTAAGGCCCGTCACAGTTGTCCCTTTGCTTAGAAAAAATGGGAGGGCCATGTGTAGGCTACGTACACGACAGGCGCGATGTTGAGACTACTCGCCCGGACGAAGTATGAAATAACTTTTTCTCGCTGTGCATCAGGAGTCTATTATATCATTTACTACATGACGTCATGCGATAAATGCGGCGAGCACGTGGTGAAATAATCCTGGCATGGCATTCCTGATCAACTGTGAATAAACCATCCCGTTTCCGTTTAATGCAGGTGAGGTTCAACAAGGACAAGTCGGTGCGCGGTGAAGCGGCGTCCACTGCGGCGCCACCCATCACCCCGTCCACGACCGGCACCGCCGCTTCCGCGGGGGACACAACCGCCGCTCCTACTTCTTCGGCCGACGCCGGAAGAACACCGCCCACTGACTCTACCGGCAGCACGGCTGTTGCTGAGCCCTCAGCTGCCGCTGCATCTTCTTCTGCATCGTCTCCCGTCGACGCCGCGTCCACCCCTGCTGCTTCTACTGAACCCCGGCCTTCGCGCCCCACGTTCCCGTTCGAGGCTGTGGACCAGGAGTTCCGCGAGTTCGCCAAGGCGATGTGGGGGGAGCACGTGCTCGAGCGGCTGCAGGTGCCCACGCAGGAGGAGCTGGCGGAGCAGGCCGCGATGGCCCGGGAGGCGTGGACGAAGCGCGAGGCTGAGTTCGAGGAGAGGGCCAGGGCGGCGAAGGAGGCCAGGGCTAAGCGCGTGCTGGCGATGAGGAGGGCGACGATGGCGGCGAACATCTCGCTGTCGGAGGAAGGATCGTCGTACGTCGTCAGGTACGTGGTGGTGTGCTTGCTGTAGCGGTGTATGGGGCCCGTTAATGGTGTTGTTGGCCTTTTGACCTGTTGACTCATTGACTTGTTGATTATGTATGGTTCACGTCTGCAACAACAGCAGTCGAACACATCAATGTATTCTGTGATTTCCCTATTCCTCGGCAACAACTGTCTTCGAGAGTAATGCCGCAACAAAAACTCCTTTCCTGTAGACCAATAGCAAGGTGCAGAGAGGAGTCAATGTTCTGCCGTCTGCGTGGTGCGCGACGTTTCTGATGTTTTTAAAGGTAACGCTTGACTCGAACTGATGTCTATCTTCTCGGAAACTACAATACTTCATAAATCGTTGTGGGGACCTGTTCTTCATGAATCTTGCACAGTATCGGATGTGCCGTCACCCTCACCACCCACCCACCCACCTCCGCCGCGCACCATTTTTACCCCGTCTACAGGTTCGCTCTACCGGAGGGCACCACTCGCGAGGACGTCAAACTCACGGTCAACCCTTCAAACTCTATCCGCGTCGCGGTCTCTGCTAGAAGCACCGCTGCAGCAGGCCCCGACCGCCCAGTCTACAAGGACGTGGTTCTCCCGAAGGACGCCATCCTCTCCGAAATCTCGGCCAAGTTCGAGGCCGAGCAGCACCGCGACGGAAAGGGCACCATCGAGGAGGAGGGCGAGGAGGCGACGGCCGGTGGCGGCGGCGCTACTAAGGAGGGGGCGGTTGCGGGCGTGGAGGTTACCGTAGGCAAGGCATCTCCACCGCAGCCCAAGCACGTCGAGATCTTGTAACAAATCGCTTGGCGTATTATTTTGTGTCATGTGCGCGACGTCGGCAGCCCTGTGTTGGTTTATTTATAATGTCCGCTACGTGTGATTTGGTAAAGAGCGAATTGTAAAAACGCGGGAGGAAAATATTTTCAGTCTCGTCTCTGTCGAAGCGGATGGGAGGAAAAGGGTGCGTATATAGAGGAGTTTGGGGCTCTCAGTAAAGTATGGGTCGAAAATGTCAAACTGTCTAGAGAAAAAAGCGGCTGGCCGTCTGCGGTGTGTTGAAGCAGACACCAGTCCATCCAGTACGCCTTGTAGACAACTTTGGGGAAGCAATAGAGCCTCCGAGATACTTCAGCAGCATTTTTTGATGCAGTGTCAGTGTGCTTGTCCCGTGGGGCTTGGGGAGGTTTCACTCCATGCCGGGCGACCGGTGAAAGACACGGAGAGCATTTGCACGGCAGTTAGATCCACAAAAACGGCAGTTAGATCCATACTAGAGCAGCAAAAGCACTTTGTGGTAATCGGCGTGCTGTTGGGTGATAATGATGTGTGTCAACATTGTTTTGGTGGGAAGCAGTCAGACAGAAGCCTCTCGGGGAGAGGGGGGAGCGCGGGAAGCCGAATTAGAGAGATCACGTGCTCGATGGCTTAGTTGGTATGATTAGGCTTACGCGGCGTCTCGGCCGGCGTTCGTGGGTGTACATCTGTCACATCGCCGGGCTGGTGGAAATCAATATATCATAGCCAGCAATTTCTATACTTCATCTGTACTTCTTTGGCATTCTCGCGGGAATACGCAACCTGGTCTTTTCGCATGGCACTATTACTATGTGTGCGGGGCTTTGCCACCTCGTGGGTGCCTTGCTTGCGTGCACATGCGTTCATGGTGGCACGCATGTCCTCCCTCGCAGCGACATCATGTCCTCGAGTCCGAATTGGGATTAATTTTACTTGGATCCCTTCGGTACACCCTGCTCACATGGTACCTCTAGAAGCTAAATTCGCCCCATCGTTATGTTCCCGGGATGGTTCTCGGAGAGGACCGACACGGAATGGCACGCGATTCGGATCCTGCTACCGGTAAAACTTGGACTAGATACTGCAATTGGGTAGCTTGGACGAGATAGATCGAGAGACAGACAAGACAGCTTCTGCCCCTCACTACCTTAGGCTGGCCGGTAGGAAGCCTGTGTCATCTCCAGGCAACCTTGCACAACTGGCGGGAAAAGAACACAGCAGGAGAGAAAGAACACGCAGGCGAGAGCAGCATGATACAAGCAACAGAGAGCACGAGGAGACCATAGGAGGGGGTGAGGCAGGTGGAAGTGTACCGATTCTGCAAAAGTAAGCAAAGGCGTTACTACGGTACCATCAACGATATCGTTACGCCAACAACAACGCCACTTACAACGCCACCAATACCAACAACAATAGCAACACCACCACCACCACCAACAACAACAATAACAACAACAACGAGCGCTGTCACAACCGCGAACATTATCAACTGCTAACCTTTCGCACAACCACCTCCTTTAGCGTTCTTTTTTCCCTCACCATCAGTTTTTGCTTCTCCGCGTCCAGCTCATCAAGCAAGAGCCACGGCACTCTGCTCGCTGATCTCGAGTCCGGCAGCCCCTCTCGTTCCCCACCCCCGTCCCTCGTCGCCGACGCCGCTCTCCTCCCCTCCATCGCCAGCATATGTAACCGCCGCTGCCGCTGCCTTGCCTTGATCCTCGCCACCTCGCCCCACTCTATCGGGACGGGAGTTCCACCGGTACCCGCAGGAGGGGGAGGACCCGGAGGTGTGGACGCCGCCGCCCCATACCTGATTATTGTGGGTTTTCGGAGGTGGTTTGGTGTTGGCCAAGCAGGGAGGGGTACGCATTCAGATTGGAAATAGAGGGTAGAAGGAGAGATATTCTCAAACGTGGTTGAATGAAAAGAGCTGTTGACGTTTATTTTTTTGGGAGTTTTGTCCGGATCGATTTGGGCCGGCACAGACGGCAGCAGAGAGAGGGGTGAAGCGAAGCTTGAGGGTGGGCGCTGCGTGCTCCAATCGTCGACAAAACTTGAAAAATCGGCCACTAGTATGAAGTAAGCTCCACCACTGGCCATCTCCGTTCCTGAAGAACGTTCGCCGTACGGCGAAGATAGAAACCGCCGTTGCGACACAGTTGTTGGTTATCGATTCCCTCTCTCTTCCTTACACAGACCGTTTTGCAAGGTGTTGTTGAACTTTTCACACCTTTCGGAAAACCCGGCCGCCGCGGGGCGCGAACGCTCCTTCCTGGCGACCGCCGCCGGCGGCGAAGCCGCCGAAGGGGACGAAACCCTCGGCGACGAGCCTGCCTCCCCTCCCTGCTCCCCTTCCTCACGAGCCTCTCCTTCCGGCGGTCCCCCTAACGTCGTGGCCGTCACCCCTCCTACTTGGGATGGTAGCAACGGCATCAGATCGAGCGAGGGGCCTGAGGCAACCGCGGCGGTAGCAACGGGGCTTGCCACGGGCTCATTGGCGGCGGCGGCGGCTGCGTTTCGGCGGTCCTGAGCCTTGGTCAGCAGAGGCTGGAGCCCCAATGACGTCACGATGTCCTTGGCCGGACGCATGATTTCTTCGAACTGCGCCACCTGCACGACGAGGAGGGCGAGGGGCCGAAGTAGAGAGCAAAATTTCGGAGCACGGTATGGCTTGTGGCACGGTTTGGCACCGTAAGGTCCGATGCTATGGAACTGAGTGAGGACGAGAAAATCAGTCACCAAAGTTGCATTGCAGCACGCAGACCAACCGCAAGGAACGAGTACAACACGCCGGCGAGAGATACGCCTGTGTTAGCGGTGCAGTGTCCTTCGAACCAAACCTGGTTGATGTGACTTTGTAGCTGCAACCGCGCCATGACTTGCTCGAGCGTCCCGCTCTTGGATAGGCCGTCGTTACCACCACCACCATCGCCACCGCCACTGCCGCCGTTGACACCTCCTTCGTCTCTTAAGCTCCTATTCCTTCGGATATGCTCCAGCGCTTCCTCCGGAGAGCGATCGTAAGCGAACAGATCCACGGCACCGCCCGTGGCAACCTTGTGGGGGCGGAGAGAGCGGGAAACGATCGAGGTTACAGTAGTGAGCGGATGGCGAGGGCCAGGGGGTATGGGGGTAAACAGCTATAGGCGTTCAAGAGCATTATCAGAAACGACGAAAGACGGGTGGATCAGGTGAGGCAAACGCAACAGAATTTACGAGGTTGAAGCATTTTGGGCTCGACCGGCAAAGAAGGTATGTATCACCCACCCACCAACCCCAACCACACTCGCCCACCCGAGCCGCCAACCGCAAGTCGTGACATGAACGAACACGGCGAATCCACCACAACTCCGGACATGAATTTAGCCATGGTGGGGTTCCGCGTCTCGAGGCATCTCACCTCTTTGAGAACCTCCTCGGTGGGGTCTTGCGTGGCCTCCCACGGCCTGCTTCGTCGCCTGGCCTTGAGCTTATCGGGCTTTCCGGAGTGGGTCACGTGCTGCACCGCCCACTTGCGCTTCTCATCCGCCACCTGTTTTTTGTTTTTGCATGTGGTGGATCTGTAGGATTGCGGGATGTATTAATTGTTTACTCTGTCTGAAACGTGTTTTCGTTCGTTCGTTCGTTCGTTCGTTCGTGGTGGATTGCTGCGTGTCCCTCGCCTACCCATGGTCGAGTCAGAACGCCATGGCGACAGCAGACAAAGCAACGAAAGACAGAGGCAGCACCCGCAGTAGTACCAAAACTTGCATCGATGCTAGCGCCTTACTTGTACGTCTTCTGCACTGGGCAGGAACAAGCAGGCAGGCCACACCCACCTTGTGTCGGTTCTGCAGGTGCTGGTCGTCGAAGCGCTTGCGGGCTTCCCTGTCGAAGATCTCCGCCATCTCCGTGTCCCTCCAGCGAGCCAGCCGCGCCGCCTGCCGCTTCCTCTCCGAGAACAACCAGTCCCGCCGCTCGAGCTGTAACGATGACAGATAGAAGAGACATCATCGTTGTTGTCGTCGTTGCTGTTGCTGTTGCTGTTGCTGTTGTCGCTGTTGCTGTTGCTATTGCTATTGTTGCTGCTGTTTCTGCTGTTGTTGTTGTTGTAGTAATGAGAAAACCGGCTGTTACCGAAAGACCGACAGCTCTCTTCGTGTCTTACCTGCTCCTCGAGCTCTCGTGCGGGAAGGCTCGCCTCGAACACCGCCTCGAGCTTCCTTTTCGTGATCCACTCCTTGTGTTGGCCGATGTTGCTGTCCAGTTCCTCCTTCCAGCCCTGCTGCAGGGCCCGAGGGCTCAGCATCATCCTCTGCGTCTTGAGCTCTTGCTCGTTGCTCTGATTGGAGGATTGTAGGGTTGTGGGGGGAGGGCAGCAGATGGTTGCTATTGGGGGAGAAGTGGCGGTAGAGTGTTGCGTTTGTCAAGGTGAGGGGTGGGCGTGTCGGTGTTTGGCGTGCGCATGTTTCTTGCGGTGTTTTGTTGCAGGTCTGTTGGTCGAGGGGGAGAGACTGTTCCATGTAGTCGATGTCGAACACGCTAGCTGTACCAGTCAGCCGTGACCGTGTCCCTCCTGCTGCTGACATATGTTATACTCGATGCATCAAAAGGCGTGGTCCCCTTGACAGCCTACGAAGGCAACCGCGCTGAACGATTCTGACAAAGCGCGGCCCTTCATCAGACGAACGTCGGGACGTAGCACGTGCTTGACCAGTCATACGCATCTACCTAGCGATCGGTCGGCACTCAGTAATACGCACAATACATACGCCTTCCATGTAACCTCATTCGTCTAACAGAGAATGCCGCTTTAATCTTAGTGGGCGTGCCACGGACGTCGCGAAAAACCAAGCCTTGATATGTAGCCGTCCTTACCCCCCTGGCCACTCCACCTGTGAAGCAAAACCAAACGCACCTCGAGCTCGAAGACTGCGGCGTGTGCCGCAGCCTCGGCCTCCACGGCGGCCTCCAGCTTCTTCTCCAGCATCACCCTGCGACTCCTCCGCTGCTTGATCTCCATGTTCTCCCTCTCCCATTCCTCCTCCGCCGCGAGCACCCTCAAGAAGTCCCTCCTGCGCTCCATGCTGCGCGCCCAGATCAGCCCGACCATGACCTTCCTCGCCATGGTCCCCCGGAAGCTCCGCTGGATCGACCGCGCCGCCCCGTTGCGGATGCGCCGCGTGCGCCCAACCACCCTCTTCGCCACCATCACGCGCACGAGGCCCTGTATCCTGGTGGCCAAGGCGCCGAGCCAGAGACGGTCCACCCTCGCCCGGTCAACGGATCCTCGCCAGAGGCACTGGATGCGGAGCGCCGCGAGGTTGACCTTGGTGGCGCGGGCCCTCAGGCGCCCCGCCCGCGCTCTGGCCGCCGCCTGGATCTTGGAGGCCGCTCCTTGCTCCAGGGCGAGGCGGCGCCTCCACCGGATGTTGCTCAGCATGCGACGGATGATATTCTGCCAGGCGAGGACCATGACGCTCCGGCGGGCGTACCACTCGGCCACGAACCTGCGCGCGAGGACGCCCCGCGCCAGGGCCTGGATCTTGACGACGCCCTGCAGCTGCAGCGTCATCTGCCGGAAACGCTTGCGGCGGTAGTAGTGCTTGTACAGCCGCTGGATGCGCGTGGCGGCGGCGCGCTCCTCTCGGTTACGCTGGAACACCGCCTCCAGTCCCTCGCTCTTTATCGCTGGCCCCATGAAGGGGGGGCGGGCGCCGCCCAGGATCTTGCGCAGCTTGCGGTTGGCGGCTCCGTAGGCCTGGACCCCCGCGTGATGGCGCACGTCCGCGTCTTTGACCCCCAGCGATTCTTGGGAAAGTCTCTTTTCTAGCTCGCGCAGCCGCAGACACTCGAGGTCGGTCAGCGCGTTCTTCCCTGCGGATGGCCTGAACTTGGCTACAGTACCCCCGTAGAGATCGCCGCTGCCGTCGTCACCATCACCTGCTCCATGTCTGTCGTGGCCTTCGGCTGCCGCTGAGGACGATGACGCCGCCTTTGTTTTAGAATCGGGTGGAGGAGCAGAGTTGAAGCTCGTCGGCTGCCCCATCAAGCTGATGGCGGCGAGCGCTGCGTGTGCCCCAGGGAGAACGGTGGACCCCGGGAGGCGCACGAAGTCTCGAAGGTCTCGCAAGAGCATGTCTTTCTGGTGCCGCCGGGCGTCCTCGACGAACCCCACTACCCACATGCTGTCGAGCTCGGCCGCCGCCACCATGGCGGCGTCTCTCTTCCCATCGCCCGCCGGAGCCGCAACGGCTCCCAAGGAAGCACCTCTGCCAAGACGACGACCAGCGGGGACGGGCTGTAGGCCTGTCTTCGGCAGGGTTGGTTGTCCTCGGCGGGCCTCCTGTGGGCGGTTGAAGAGCTTTGGGTAAACGATTTCGTCGTAGGGGAGGTACTTGGAGGTTTGAGGGTCTCTGTTGAGGGTGAAGCTGGTGAAGAGGTCGTTCTCGGCCTCTGTTCGCTTTCGCGGTCGCCGCGTTCGCTTGTCTTTTGGCCTTGGCCTTCTGTTGCCGCTTTTGATTTGCAGTTGTTGTTGCCGCCGTTGGTGGTGGTGCTGGTGCTGCTGCTGCTTGCTGGGCTGCAGCACCAACATGTCGCTGTTGTTGAGAGGTGAGGTTGGTCGTGAGCGAACGCCGCGCTCGCCACCTTCTCGGTCGTCCGAGACGTCCAGCAACGCTGTTGCTGGCAGCGGGCTTGTCCCATGCAGTACTCCGCCACCCGTTAACATGAGGGACTTCCCAGCGGTTGCCCAGTCGTCCCAATCTTCGCCATTTTCGGCGGTTGTCCCGTCACCACGTAGCCACGAGGCTGCCGAATCATCCGTGCCCGACTTGCCACACTTTATCGACAACAGTGGTGCCTTGTCTGAAGCATCATCAGTGGTACCTGCCGTCGCTGCTGCTGCGGGGCTTGCTACCCTAGGCAACATATCGTCATCACCACGTCGTCCATCAGGCCGAAAGTCACAACCGAGCTCGACTTGGATCCTTTCCGGCACAAAGATCCAAACAGCCACGTGTGTATGCCTCTCGCAAGAGTACTGGTTGCGATCCCCCCTACACGGTGTCACTAGGTGTCACATGCACACAGCCGAACACACGTAGAGCGAGGCTAGTAGTGAGTGTGAGGCAGAGTGTGGCCGGATGTTCGTCTCAGCAAGATGGCAGCGCAATGCCGTACGGTTTGTTGCCTCGATTCTCTTCTTCGAATCGGCTCTGTCGTTTGCACCGCCGCCGGTTCAACAGCAACCTGCTCTGTCATGGTCATCGCCGTTGCTGCTGCCTGCTACTGCTACGCTCCAGCGGCGTAGCAGCAGCAATGGTAGCTCGTTGTGGCCTGCCAGGGCAGCTGTAGCAGGGTACAGACACCGTCAACGACACCGAGGGGCAGCGTCACAGCAGACGCCGCGGTTGGCTATGTCATCATCAGCAGGACGAAATGGAGCAGCGCCGGAGAGAGGAGATGGAGCAGCAGCGAATATTGCAAGTGCTGCCGGCGGCGCTTTTGGTGTCGCCGATGAACCTGGCGATGCGCAATCTTCGAAAGCTCAGACACAGGTAAAGGTTGCGAGCAGATGTTGGGTGTTGTCCGGATGCGACGTGTTTTGCAAGGCCTGGACGCGACTATTATCAAGCAAGGTACTGCTGTAGTCCGACAGCCGACGTTGTTGGCGCCAACGCTAGACTACTAGTCTACAGCAGCGTGTGATGATCGCGCATGAAAAAACGAGGGGACCCGCAGGCTGGGCAAGAGTGGTGCAGCAGTAGGGCAATCATTCCCGCGGGTTATCGGACCGGCGTCAATGGCTGCCGCGGCCAAATAGAGGTTGTGTCAGCTCTGTTTGCCGCGAAACATGTGCAGCGCATAGTCTACCCACACAACGAAATATTGGGTGCTCTGCTGAAGTCAACATGTTGTTTCGCCGCGTCCACACTGCGCAGCAGTGGCATCAGGACTATAATACTGCCGTAATACCGCTTAACTCGACGGTCGGTGCAACGTGCTGTGTACAGCAGCAGCAGCAGCAGCAGCAGCAGCAGTGGAAAATCGTAGCACAGCAGCGTCACGAAATGCAAACAAGACAGGAAGAAAACATCGCACCGGGCACGATTTTGCTTCTCTAACCTTGCTGTGCTGCGAATTACGAGGATAGACTGCTGTACATACCAGTACAGAGTATGCCACCCAGGGTATCGGTCTGATTGACAGAAGAAACAGGCCGCGTGAATGTTTTTCCACGTCTGGCTAGCATATGCGCATGACATGTGCCGTAAGTGTGAATCTGTCGTCGGAGGAGAATATTCGCGTTCGATCTATGCATACCCCCTGTAAGATATCNGGTGCAAATGAGCTCTGAGCATATCTTTTGTGTAATTTTGGTGTAACTTTATCTTACAAAAGATATACACTCAGCTCGTTAGCACCCGGCTGGATCCCTTGGGTGTAGAGCTTGGGATTGAGAGCAGGGATCTCCGGGGCCGGACCCCTCGCCAGGCGCTGATAGTTGTATGCATAGGTGCACTTTTTGTTTTTTCTTGTATCGAAAAGTGATCCAGCCGGTATTCGAACTCGTGGTGCACTTGTTGTTTTTTCTTGTATCGAAAAGTGATCCAGCCGGTATTCGAACTCGCGGGTATCCTTCGTAAAACAAAGTTACACATTATAATACTTATATAAAACAAAGTTACACATTAGTCTAATGTGTCTAATGTGAATAGTCTAATGGGGTAACTTTATTAATGTGAGTAGTCTAATGGTGTAACTTTGTTTTACAAAGTTTGTTTTACAAAGGACACCCGCACGAGTTCGAATACCGACTGGATAACTTTTCGTTACAAGAAAAAAAAAAAGTGCACCTACAAGTATCAGCGCCTGGCGAAGGGTTGGGGGCCAATGTGAGTAGTCTAATGGTGTAACTATACTTCCCAAAGGATACCCGCACGAGTTCGTACACCGGCTGGATCACTTTTCGTTACAAGATAAAAAAAGAAGTGCACCTATGATTATCAGCGCCTGGCGAGGGGTCCGGCCCCGGAGATCCCTGCTCTCAATCCCAAGCTCTACACCCAAGGGATCCAGCCGGGTGCTAACGAGCTGAGTGCATATCTGTTGTAAGATAAAGTTACACCAAAATTACACAAAAGATATGCTCAGAGCTCATTTGCACCCGGCTGGATCACATTTTTGGGGTTTATGGCTTGAATAGACGACCGGTACGAAGTCTTACACTGCTCGTGGCGCGTTATTGTTTTTCAAGTACATGCACACGTCGTTGAGACACGAGCAGACATCCCAAACACGCGCGTGCCGTTCTATTGCTGAAGGCAACGGACGAGAGGTGCTTGGAAATAGTTCGCATATCGCGCGAGCCCTTGTGCGTTTGACGCCCGCCCATCTTTACCTACCGCAAACCACACAGCATTCTACACCCGGAAACGATTCCACGCACCTCGCGGAACACAGCATCCCGCGATAAATTGCTTCTGGCGGCTCGACATGACATGAACGGCGATGAGTGTGCGATGCCACACATCGGGTGACCGCATCCTTAGAAAAAAGCCACAAGTGCTTACCCACCGCGTGTGTTATCCTGTGTGGCACCACGCGACTACGCTCCAAAGGCTTTGCTCGCGACTTCGTTCGTTAGTTTCGTTCATCAAGCACCGTTTCGCTCCTCCCGCGACCGAATTCCCCCCCCCCCCCCCCCCATTCATCAAGCCCCACCTGGACGTCTCTACTCCTTCCGCCGCGCGCGAATTCCTTCTCACACTCCTCCAGGTACCCCCAAAAACCGGTGCAACGCAAACCGGCCAGGCCTCGCGCCGTCGACGCCAGCGCCACCACCACGACAGCGACTTCCTGTTCGAGCAGAAGCTGGAGAGCGTGCGCGCCGCCGTCCTGTGCGGGTCCGTCGGAGCGACCTCGCGCCTGCTTGCGGTGGGAGCCGGGGGCTTGCTTCCCGGGGGGCTCTTTCGAGAGGCGCTGGCGGCGCCAGAGCCGGCGGGGTCGTCCCTCCTGTTCGGCCTGGCGGCGGGCTTTGCGCAGGGCGCGCTGTTCGGGCTGACGTACCGGTGAGAGGGAAAAGCAACGGAGAATTAGCAGCAGCAGCAGCAGCAGCTTTTTTTTTCTAGAACAAGCACCCCAAGACCTCTTGCCATCTAGAGAAGCACAAGTATTTATTTCTCTTCCCCATGCAACGGGTGTTGCACCAACTCGATCCTGGCACAGCACAGCATCGTCCTTCATGAATCAGTTAATTTTTTGTTGTTGCTTTTTTGGTTCTCATCTCGTCGTCCCTGCCCGAAAAGGGCAGGCATGTTGAAAGAGTTCAAAACACAAACAAATCGTTGTTTGTTGGAAGGCATTCGAGCTCCCATGTTAGGCTCGGAGTTAAGGTCGCCTGAGGAAATGCGATTCGTGCAGCTGGGGTGGTAAAACCCGTAGCCATCCAGCACACAGTGGGTCTGCCCCGTGCTATCATGATACGGTTACCCCGGCATTTAACCCCCGTCTCGGACAGTGCCGCTGCTAAAATACGTCACAACACCTTGACTACATGATGCCGCGGCTGATCGTTCTTCGATTCGGGCGGGCGACATCAGTCGATACCTAACCTTCGACCTTATGGAGCTCGTGATCCACTGTTCCGAGAAAGGGTGTCGCACGCATGTTGGATGTAGGACGCGTGCGTGGCGAGAGCATGATGGGAGGGGGGGGGGTAGGGGGGTAGGGGGGGTACTCATAGTCGTGCATGCCGTAGTCGTTAGACCATTGACCTCGCATCCCTACCAAGCCGGGACGGAGCACGCCGGGTTTTCACCGGACCAGGCTCTCACATCACCAAGAGTGAAGCGCCGTGAGGTGTTCGGCGAGTCGCATGAAGGGTGCNACTTCCTTGCGTACGGATGACAGCTGCGTATGAATTAATTTATTTTCTGGTGCTTTCACTTCCAGAGACAGTTGTAAGCACTGTGTAACTGCCTCGAGGGTGCTGGACCAATTTTACACAAGGTGATGCGATCATCCCCCTTGCGCGGAGCGAGGGTTCTCGACCCCGCACAACATGATCTACTCGACCACCATCATGGTGTACCGCCGAAAAAAGACCAGGGGTAAAATAAAAACAGAGGTAAAAAAAGCACGGTAACCTGGTTGCCGATTTCACGAAGTTAATTGGCTTGTTTAACAACGTCGTTGCCATGCAACGAAAACCCAACCCCGATGGCAAACACGGGGGGGGAGGTGGGGGAGGGAGGTCTTACTGTACGTTTCGAGCTGAATCAGCTTTGTTTGGACATATTCCCGGGAACATCAGTATTCCAGCGATCTCAGCACGTGTTACCATTCGCCGGGGCAACACACGAACCGGTCGCCCCGGTGGTCTAGTGGGTAGCCTCGCAGCCTGCTAAGGGCCAGGTCATGGGTTCGAGTCCCGGCAGAGAGAGTTTTTTTCTCACTAAATAAATCCTGGTCTAGGATGAAAGCGACGCGCTGCAAAGCTCGTTTGTTAGTAAACCATAATCGACTTCGTAAGTCGCGAGGGAAGGGATTGCTGTACCCTTCTCGCGATAAAAATACCTCAGGCATGAACCGCAGGAGGGGGTCCAACCCCCCCCTCCTATGTGACCCCGGTTGGGTCGTCTAGCTAGTAGAAGTGGAGGATAGGGGCCAGAGGGGCAGACGACAGTCCAATGATTGGAGAAAAACAAACAAAACAAAACAACAACATTCCCAGACTCACACATAGGGCACCAGTATCTTGTTTGCGCATCCTTTTTTCGGATATCTGACCTTCGTTGCTGAAAAAACTCGTACGTACGACGTCACGAGCTCGTCGACATCCGTGACTATGAAAACAACAACTTTTCTTGCATGTGATGATGGGGTGCGTGTGTACTACTTGTCTTCCCCTTCACGTCCCGCCTTGCGGCTGCCTTTCGTTTGACAACACGCCGCCGGTAGGCGATACACAGATGCGTAGACGCATATTTAGGAAGGTAGACGATGAAAACGAATGTGAATGCGGCTCCGAGTGCGACGACCGGGTTCATGTAGTTGCGAAATGTTCATTGTACAACAAGGACAGGGAAATGTACATGACTGAGCTGGGAAAAGTAGACGGAAGATACAGGGAGATGTCTGAGGCGTGGAAAAGCCAGGAGAAGACGGTAGCTGTACTGGGGCATGGGAAGTGGGTTGAAAAGGCGGGAAGTGATTTCGATAGGATACATAGACTAGGGGAGACATTTTTGAGCCACCTTTGGCACAGCATAGTAATAGGAAGGAACGATTGGCCATCGGTGATCGATCCTGTGGGAACAATGCTCCGTCCTCTCGAGGACGCGTGGTCAATGGTCTAACCGCTAAGGCATGCAAGAGTACCCCCCCCCTGCCCCCCGCCCCCCCCGATGTTTGCCATCGGGGTTGCGTTTCCGTCGCGTGGCAGCGATGGTAAAAAACAAGCCGTCACTTCGTGAGGTTAGTTTTTTTTTGGCGGTAACCATGAATGGATGTCGAGTAGATCATGTTGTGCGGGGTCGAGAACCCTCACCCCGCGCAAAGGGGATAATTGCACCACGTTGTGTTAAAATGGTCAAGCACCCTCGAGGCAGTTACACAGTGCTTACAA